CACAAGCTGGGACCAATGAGGTGGCAGCTGGTGGCCAGAGAGGAAGTGCCTCCAGGGCCAGGTGCTCAGGTAGCTGAGGTGGGGGGGTGGATGGAGCACATAGACTCAGGCAGGAATCAGCTAAAGAGAACACAGAGGGAGCTCAGATATTGCTGCCAACTTCTGAGTCAGCTGGGGGGGCGGAGAGGGAGCAGCAGTACCCACGTTTCAAATATCCACCTGCCAGTGTCCTAGGAGCTGCCTAGGGCCAGTCTTTTCCCACTGACACTGTTTAGCTATGATGTGATTTTAGGCAAGTCACCTAATCTGTTAAATAGAGATATTCCTTCTCCAAAGTCTACTTCTTAGTGAGATAAAAGACATAGAAGTGCTTTGAGAAGTTACTATGGCCCTATGCAAATGAGAGGCCTCATATCACTGTTTCTGCACTAGTCCCTCCCCACAAAGCTGTCTCAGGGAGGGCCAATGGCCACATTCCAGATGAGCAAGCATTGATGGCCAGCATTTGACCCCTGGGTGACAGACCTTCTGAAGAGGGCCGTCTAGCACTTTCCTCTCCACAGCATGTGGCTTCAGCTTTCTGCCTGTCCTGCCCCAGCCAGACGATCCATCCCTTTGACTTTGAACAGGGTTTCAGTGATGACCTCAGTGGGTAAAGTCACTTCCCTCCCTTGGGTGCCTCCCCTCAGGCTCGGTAAAGGTAAGTGTCCCATGCTGGTACGAACTTCTGCAAAGGGGTCCTGCCCTGGAGAGAAGGTGGGGAGGGAAGAGCAAGGCCTAGGAGGCAGGGGTATGCACTGGGGGAGCAGAGAGGTGATCTGCCAATTGGTTGGCCCTATCCCTCGGCCCATATCCCACAAAATCAAGCCTCCTTCTCTACCCCCCTCCCCCGACTACCCACCTCCTACAAAACCAGCTTTGGCCTTTCCTCCCCCTCTCCCAGCATTGCATGAGGGTGTCCTATCACAAGGCTGGGAGTCTGAGTGTGTCCTTGACTCCTCCCTCTCCCCTGGCCCCCTCCCATCTAAGGCCAGTCCATTCTAATTCACTGCTCTAAATCAGGCCCCTGCCTTCTCTCTTCTGGGCTGTTCGCTGATCCCTCCCTATCTCCAGTTTCACATCTCTCCACTCCATCATTCTGGCTGCCAGCTATGCTGCACCCATGTGTATCTTCTTCATACAGGTGCCCCACATCCCTCAAATGCCTTCAGTGGTACCCCTCCCCATTTCCATAGTGAAGTTCCCACTCAGTCCTGCAGGCAGGCCTGTGGGAGAATTTGCTCCTGTGAACCATCTGACCACTGGCTGTTCCACCTTCTCCTCAGGCCTCACCTTCTCGCAGCTTGAAATCCCCTCCCCCATTACTATAATCCTATTACCCTTCAAGATCGAACTCAAAGGCCACCGCCTCCTACCTCTTCATCCAGTTGGCAAACTCCTCCTGGCACCATTAAGAGAGTACTATTAAAATTCTGCTTCGTGTTTAAGTAGTCCAGTGAGCCTCCGGGGCAAGGTTGAGAGCCCTACAGCACCCAGCACAGTGTTGAGACTTAAATGCTAGTTAGCATCTTTTCCCTGCCAGCTCCTGCTACATGTTTGGGAACCAACACCCTCTCCTCCCTTAACACTAGCTCCCAGATGCTCCCAGATTCCCCCTTAGAGATTAAGCAAAAGAAAAACAACCACTATTTAGCAATAACAGGTATGTAAAAAGAAAAAATAAAAATAACTACTATTTTAATAGTACTCTACTATTTGCAAAGCCTTTTCATTAACCTTACAGTGACTCACAATCCTCACAACAACCTATAAAGAGGGGACTCTATAGCCTCCCCTTTAATGAGGAGAAAGCTAAGCCCTAAGCAAGGAGGCGCACCTTGCTCAAGGCCCACAGGCGGGCATTGTGGACCCCTGACACTCTGGGTTTTCTGACCTCAAACCTTGCTCAGGCCAAAGCTCTAGTTAGAAGACCTAAGCTGGGCCCCACCCAGCCCAGGATAAAGAACAGGGGAGTGGAGACAGGGTCTGCTTTGGTTCTACATCAAACCATTTAGGAGTGGGCAGACACCTATGCTGGGAGCCAGAGGCTACCAAAGAGATGGCAGCAACCTTAAGGGAGGCCTATGAGGGGAGGAATAGGGAACTCAGACAAAATTCTTTTTTTTTTTTTTTTTTAAAGATGACCGTTAAGGGGTCAACACCAACCCTTGACTTGGTGTTGTCAGCACCACGCTCAGCCAGTGAGCTAACCAGCCATCCCTATATAGGATCCGAACCCATGGCCTTGGTGTTATCAGCACCACACTCTCCCGAGTGAGCCACGGGCCGGGCCCCTCAGACAAAATTCTGAAGTGGCTGACAAGGGGTTTATGTGGCTCAGGCAGCTGTGTGGTGAAGCAGGGAGGAGAAGGATCTGTTGTCTGGGTTTAGGGCAATAGCCCCCATCCCCACCCTGCAGAGTCTCTACCAGAGCCCTGCTGTAAGCATGAGAAGGGGCCTGAAACATCTGTGGCCCAGAACAAGGCCAGATGAAGAGACATTCCTGCATCAAGGTGGCCCTGGGAGGTTCCTATGGCAACAGCCAGCCAGTCCAGTGTCTGTCCTTGGGCCCTGGAGAGGAGGCGAGGACTGGCTCTCAAAAGGAGCACATACATCTGGACCCTCCAGGAGCTAATGGGGATGGTCAGGCCTGAAGGTGATCCTCCACCACCACCCCACCACGCCTGTCGCCACAGGACAGGTGGAAGTGGAAGGCAGTGGGGAAAGACTGGGGCCTGGAGGTCCTGGGGAGGCAGGAAGGACAGGGGAGATTCTGGAGGAGGTAAGGGGCCAGAGGGGGCATTGGTGACAGAAGGCTAAGCTGAGGGCACCAGGGAAAGGGTGGCTGGAGGAGGCTGGGCAGGGGTGAGGGCTGAAGAATGAGGCAGTGATTGGAGGGAAGAATGGAGGATGGGGGGATGGCTGGGATATGAATTTTGGGGGCTGGCCAGAGGAAATAAAATTTTTCCATTTGCGAGTGGAAGGCCCAAGGAGGCTAGCCCTAACTCCAGGGATTCCCCCAAGGCACCCCAGAGCTGAGCTCTTAGGGCAACAGGCCCCTTCCTGGGCAAGCTCGGGGAGCTCCCAGAGGAAATGGCAGAAAGCCAGACACTAAAAATGCCACATGCTTAAACTGGAATAGCCCAACCCAGGGAGGACAAACAGGGACATGCTGTAGGGTCCGGGAGCTGTCCCTAACTCCTGTGGAAAGTAGGCAGTGCTGTCACCTGGCTCCAGCCTCCCTTGACTTCTCATCTGCACACGCTGGCCCCACGGTTAAGAGAGCATCCCAGGGGCCGGCCCGGTGGCGCACTGGATGGTGCGCCGCTTGGGAAGCGCGGCGGCGCTCCTGTCCGAGGGTTCGGATCCCACATGCAGACCGGCTCCCGCTCACTGGCTGGGCGAGGCGCGGGAGCAGCACCGAGGGTTGCAATCCCGTTGCCGGTCCCCGGTCCGGTACGGGGGCAACACTGAGGGTTGCGATCCGTTGCCGGACATGGAAAAAGACAAAAGACAAAAAAAAAAAAAAAGAGAGAGCATCCCAGGATCTGGAATCTGGGGTCCTCCCTCTTCACCAATGGTGCATGGCTGTGATGGGGAGATGGGCCCCGTGACCTATGATGGGTGTGAAGATCACTTCCCAAGGGCACCCCAGAGAGGGTGATCAGAGCGGCCAATGTCCCTGGTATCCTGGCCCTCCCCAACATATCCCTTGGGTTCATGGCTCTCTTTTTCTCCCTGATTTAGCAGTTTCAGAAACTTCCAGCTCAGCATATCTACTTCCTGAGTGGGTAAGGAAGAGGGGGTTTGGGGGAACCTCCCAGCCTCCCTGAGAGTTCATTATGCAAATGAAGGAAATGGGCCCTAGAAATGAAACTGAGAAGCCCTAAGAGGCCAGAGTGAGAGTCAACCCCCTATGAGAACTCAGGGAGGCCAGTTTGCAGCCTTCCTCTTGGCATCCCCTTCCCTAGGCCCAGTCCCTACCCCAACACACGGAATCCTGCCTACCTTCTGGCCTGAATCTCTCAGCAACTCAGGTTTACCAGTCAGCTGTCCAGGCAACAAGAATTTTAAGCACCTGCAGAAGGCAAGCAATGTGAACAGGGTAAAGCTAGGCTTCCTCATGAGGAACTGTGGCCCACAGAGCCTGCATGCCACATCCAAGCCCTGGCCTTGGGCCAACCTGTATTTGCTCCTCTCAAACCCCACTCCTGAAATAAAAGACTCCTTCCTAAATCCCCCAGGCCCTATTACTGACCTTCTGCCCAAAAGTTCTTCCTTAGGTCTAACTGTAGTCCCGCTTGCAGGGACTTAAGCTTTTAAGGCACATCTGCATTCCCAGTGCCTGTTTCTGGTACACAATAGACTTTATAAATGTCTGCTGTCCCATACCCAGCCTGCCCTGCCCCCATCCCACTCACCCCTGAATTAAATGAGCTAATACACCTAAAACCCTCGAACTGTGTTACATAAGCACTTGCTACATAATACAGAAATCTGTTACAGTACCCTTCTGGAGCCTGTAGTCCCTCCCCTCCTTACGTGATAACACTCCTCCGACCTGGCCTGAGCAGTCACATCACATTATTCTGCCTCCTGCCCTTGCTGGATTCCCCGGGTTGTCAAAAAACCCAGTGTGCTGCCAAAGGGACTGAGGTTAGATCTCAGGAAGGACTTCCTAAAGAGTAGCCAAGGGAAGTCTAGGTCTTCTTGGGAGAGCTAGCCAGTGGAGCAGACCCCGAAGTCAGTGCAGTGGGATCTAAGATTTGGGGGCAGTGTGCAGTTGGGGGAGTGGGGACGGGGGCAAAGCCTGGAGCAAATGTGGAGCCAGAGTGCCACCTAGTGGCTCCCTCACCTCCCCAACCCCAGAAGCCTGGGTGGGGTCAGGGTTCTCTCTTCCCTCCTCCACACCCTGCTCTAAAGAAGGCAATAACTTTTGAGTGCCAAAAATAGAACAGGCATCTTGCTTACATTGCTTTATTTAATCTCTTCCCCAGCCCTTCAATCCCTTTTTTTGAGAATATGAAAACCAAGGATCCCAGAGATTAACTCAGCCTGGATTTGAGCCCAAGGCTCAGACTCCAAAACCCACACTCATTTTTCTGTATCTCCCAGGGGTGCAGCTAAGGCAGTTGTGAGCAAAATACGGAAGTTCCAGCCCAGAGGGCATAGGATTTGTTGGGAGGGCAAGGCAAGGGGAAAAGGGCATATGGGAGAAGGGGGAGAGTACCAGTGCCAAGGTTGGCACCCCTCCACACAGGTGGTAAGTGTGGGGTGTCCCCTGTGAGAAACCATCCCAGGTGACAGGGCCCCCAACCAATGTCATGGCTCCAGCATTTTGGGGGGATATGAGTCTACAATTCACACAGGGAGGTGAGGCCATGTGAGAAGCAAGGATAAAAAGGGGACTTTACCCCCTGGGGACAGCTGCTTCCAAATCTAATAAAACCCTAGGGAAAGTCCTCATGCTGGGCCTCCAGCCAGCAAGTCTAGTCTAATCCCAAGAGGTGCCCAGTTAGCACACAGAGCCAAGGGGCCCACTCTGGGGGCATACACCCACAAGAGAGGATGAAAGCTCTCTGGCTTCAGTATCAGAATGCTATCCCTTCCTCCCCGTAAAAAACAGGCTGCTCTCCCATCCCCCTCTTCACATTGGCACAACACAATCAGTCTGCCAAGGGCCACGTCCCAGGGCCCTGAGCACGTGCATACATTTGTACAGACTGCAAGGCAGGTCCAGCTAAGGCCCTTTCTAGCAAAAGTGGCATCAGTGCAGGGCTGGGTGATTTGGCTGTCCTCTGTGGAGAATATCCAAGGACACCAAACAAGTCAGGGAGATGCCAGTTTAACGGTCTGGGACCAGCCTCCAGGATTACATTAAGGCCTGGATCTTGGACTGGGCCCAGGCCAAGGCGATTCCCTGATGGCGCAGGGCCTCAGCCGCGGTGGTGGTGGCGGCTGTGCTCCTCCCTGGGTCCCACAATGCTGGGGATCCGCAAGTGTTTGTCCTTCTTCCCTGACCTGTGGGGAGACATGGAGTAGGGGGAGGAAGAGGCCCTTAGGAGATAACACCATGTGATGAGAAGGGGCTCCCTGAGGAGAGGACCCTGTTCCTCCTAACACAGCTGATTCAGGCAGCCGCCACTAAGCACACGGGAAGATAAAGGCTCCAGGTGGGGGGACAGGAAAGTGGGGATCTTTCTTATGCCCTGGGCTTTGTAGGTACAGGCAGGGCAGGACAACACGGGAGGAAAAAGTTTCCCTAGCCCAAAAGGGGACTCCTCAGGACCAGTCTAGGGGAGCAGAGGCAGCTTCCTGCCCTCAAGGGAAGACAGGAAGTGTATCCGGATGTCTTCTCAAAGGGAAGACAGCTGGGGACCAAAAGTGGAGATAAGACCTCCAGCTGACCACTCAGGGCCCTTGCCTCACATCCCTCCCAGCTGCCCCTGTACCCCCGAGACCCAACTCTCCTACAGCTTCCCACCTCTTCAGTGCTTTATCTCCAAAGAAGTGGCTGAAGATGAAGTCCTCAAAGTCATCCACTTCATCATCATCACCTGTCTCTCTCACAGCCACCTCCTCCAGGCTGTCTTCCAAGGCATCCACAAAGTCCCGGAAGCAGAGGCGGTCGTGACGGAAGATGCCATCCTCACCAAAGTAAGCAGGTGAGAGAGGTAGCTCCTTGGTCAACCGCCCAGCCCAGGGCAGCCGCGCCAGGTATGTTCTCAGCAGAGAGGCCAGCTCCTGTTGCCGCACTGGGGCTAACTCCATGCCAAAGAAGGTCAGGCCCTCCTGCCGGGCACACTCGTCCACACCTGAGCAGCCCTGGGGTGCCCGATACTTGTGCCTCAACAGCTCTGCCCAGGGTGGCAGGGGATCATGATTGTCTTTAGCCCCTTCCCTCTGCCGAGGATGCCTCTGCCTTTCTCCGGAGTGGGGGCTCCCACTTTTCCCTGGGGGCTCCTTGGGGCCCTTTCGCTTGCCATCCTTCTTGCTGCCCCACTCTTCTCCCCTTGGCTTGCCCTCCTTCCACCTCCCTGCCAGCTCCCTGTCCTCCTCACCCCTATGGCTCTTCTTCCTTTCCAAGTCAGAGTCCTCCTTCTTATGCTTCCAATGGTCAGCCTTCCGGTCCCTGTGCCCATCCTGCCACTTTTCCTTTCCACTCCACTCCCTGGAATACTGGAAGCGGGGCTTCTGATGCCAGGCCTCTGAGGCATTGGCAGGGATCCCACGGTTCTGGCCCCGGTTCTCCAGGCTCTGTAGCTTCTGGGCCAGTCTGTGGCCCAGCTCAGCCAGGCCAGCATGAGCCGGGTCCCCTCGGGTGGCATCCCGCAAGCTCCTCTCCAGGTCCTGTTGTACAGACCACAGCAGCTGCCGCTGCCTCTCTAACTCTTGCCTTAATGCCTGGACCTCAGCCTCCAGCTGCTCCTTCTGCTCTAGGAAGCCAGGGTCTAGCTCTGGCCCCTTGGAACCTTGCTCCTTGGGGGTCTTGCCACCCTGCAGGCCTCTGCCCCAGTTGAGGCACACCCCATCTGTGCCCTGGACACAGTTGGCCTCCTGTCCCTGGAGCCGGGCCCGCAGCTGCTGCAGCTCTGACTCCAGGGCCCGCTGGGAGGCCTCACCCTGCTGCAGGGCCCCCCGGAGCCGGGCATTCTCCTCCTCTAGCCCTTTGGGCTGGTGCATCAGGCTCTGAAGCTCTTCCTTCTGGGCCTGGAATGTGGTTAGGGACGGAGGAAACCACAAGGAGTTCTTGTCAGGATGAGGACCCCAATTCCATTCCATTACAGTGGCAGGTGGCCCAAGCCCCTTCTTTGGCTTTGGACACCCAGAAGATTTGGCTGTCATCTTCCTCCCCATCCCCATCTTGGACCAGACTCTGGGAATCCCAAATTCCATCTCGGGCCTCGGTTTCTATATCCTTATGTAAACACACACTTCTTAGATTCACCTAAGGAGAGCCAATATGTGGCTCTCATGGCCCTATTTCCTCCTCCCCTACCCAGAACAGAAATTGTTAATTGATTGCAGCCCTTGGCATAAGCCTGGGCTTGTTCTTCAAATCGTCCTCCACACAATGCTCCATGCAGACCATACCAGTCAGAGGTAACATGCCATGTGAAACAGATATGCCAGCCCTGGCCTACACCTTAGCATGAAGGACATAAGTAGAGAACAAGGAAGATGCCCTGACTACAGAAGGAAAGGGAGAGGGTTAAGGTGTGCAGGTGAATATGGGAAACTCCTTTTTGGGGCAGACACTAGGACTAACAGCTGGTCCAGGATGGACTAGCCTAGTCCGCCTCCTCCTGCCTATTCCTACCTGCAGCTGGGCCTGCAGCAGCCTGACGTCCTGGTTCTCCTTGGCCAGCTTGTCCAGCAGAAGGCCCATGTTCTGCAGGCTGGGAACACTGTCAGGGGACACTGAGGCCTGCAGCTGCTGCCTTAGACCATTCTAAGGGCAGAGAAGCCAGTTACCCCATGCTGCCCAACAGCCCAGGCAGCCCAGGCTCTCCCCTACCAAACCCCACACACCTATGGAGACATTCACACACACCTGCCCATCCCCCACAGCATCCAGCAACTCAGCATCTGATCCAGTGTCCGGTAAGACCTGCAGTTCCCCTTCCTCTATGGGCCCTGTGGGAAAGTGAAGTCCTGAAACTGACCCCAAGGCACAGAGAGCCCTCTCATCCCCCAACCCACCCACCCTCAGACCCCCACAGTCACCCCTCCAGTCCTGGACCTGTCCAATGGCTGAGAGGTCCAGAGAGGTAACGGGCCAAGGGTCACCCTGAACAGCTGATGAGGCCCACAACTGAGAAGTAAATATGCAACCCTTACTCCTAACTGAGAGGAACCCCCCTACCGCCATGACAGATAAGCATAGTCCAGGGACCCTCCCCACTCACCAGTCTCAGAGTCTGAGAGGCCACCTGAGGATGGAGACAGAGGAATCCAGTGAGGCCCTCAGGGGAGGGGTGGGGTGATGTAAGGTGAAAACATGGCAGGAGGGCAGGGCCAGGGTAGAGGCTCAGGCCCCAGCAGGGGAGGTACAACTCACCGGAGCAGAGAAGGATGCCCAGGCCCAGCAGAACCAGGGCCCCGACGAGGCACATGTTGAGGGAGATGCCCAGCTCCCTACACATGCACTCTCCCCCAGCCTGGTCCTCCACCTTCCGGGGTGCCTCAGGCTGAGGCAGGCTGGGCTCCCGGCCCCGCCGTCTCCGCAGACCCTCCATGTCCATGTCGGTGTCATCCCCACTGCTGGAGCAATGGTCCTCTGCCCTGATCCAAGCTACGGGAAGGGATGGGGACAGGGTGACTGGAGAGAAGGGACAATGGGAGAGAGGGGAAGTAGAGGAAGGCACCAAGAGGGGAACATGGACACCCTGCCCACTTCTGCCTGGGTATTGATGACAGGCCCTGCCCAGTCTGGAGGCAGGAGACCAATCCTTTCAATCTACAAACTACCAGAACTACTTCCATCCTAAAAGCAGCCTCCTTCCTCCAATGTGTGCCTGGCATCAAGCTCCTGCAGCTATTACCACCCTCCTGGGTCCTCTCCGAACCTTGGCCACTCCTCAGTCTCCCTCCCTGGTTCTTCCTCCCTGGCACAATTTCTGGTTCTCTGCTCTCCTCACTATGTCACAACTATCTCACCCACACCACTGACTTTCCCCTACAGCACAGGTGTCACTAATCTGCAGCTCCTGACCTGGTCTCCCTAGAGCTGCAGGCCAGCATGCTGACTGCTTACTGGCCACTCCCCTCCAGATGTCCCTCGGGGACCAAACATTCAACACACTGACCTCCAAACTGACTCTTTTTTGGTGTTCCCCCAACTCAGGGAAAGGCACCACTGCTGCCATCTAGCTAACCTAAGCCCTCCCTCCTCACCTCACACCCAGACAACTTGACAGTTCTACACTTGAACATCTCAACAGTCCATCCCTGCTCACAACCCCCACTGTACCTGCCTTAGTTCAGGTCTGTCTCTCTTGAACAGAGATAGACTCCTATGCTCCTCTGCCACAAGCCTCAGATGAAGCCTGCTTAGCATGGGACAGGTGGTTCTCATCCCTTTGCCGATGTTGTAGCCTCTGCCTGGAATGTTCTCCTTCTCCTGCCCTACCTACCAAAATCCTACTCTGTGCTCAAGGCTCCACTCAAATGTTACCTCCAGTTGTCCCTGCCTCTCCCTTGCCCTCCACCTGTCCCCTGACTGAGCTACTCCCTTTCCTTCAGGAGCAACTTAATCATACCTCCTTTCTGCATCCCTCATGGGTCTGATTTGCACCTTGGCTCTGTGTGGTCTGCCTCTTACATTGGCCATGAGCCACCCACCTTCCCTCCTCCCAGGCCCAGAGCCAGCACAAGGAAGGGACTCTGGAAATGAGGGTTGAATTCTAGAAGCAAGAAAGGAGGAAGACCTATGGCAGAGAAGAAAGAGTCAGCCAGACGCGGGTCCTGCCACTTACCAGCAGTGTGACCTTGCCTAAGTCACTTAACCTGTCTGAGCCTCGGTATCTTCAGGGTTGGTGGTGAGGAAGGAGGGCACCAAGCTGCTAAGTCCCAGGACTGCAGCATGTGTTCAGTAGTGATGGCTGCTCCCTCTCCCATACCTTCTAGAAGGGGACAAGGAGAAGCAGTCTCACCTGCTTTAGGGGCTGAGAGAAGGCTCTGTGGAGAGTTCTGGTCTTCCAGGTCCTGTGTGTCCGGTCCCAGGCCTGTCACTACAGGGGTCTCCTGCAAGTCTCCCTGGACCACTGTGTCTCCTGGGCCAAGGGGCTCCATATCACAACCATCACCTTCCAGGATGCCCTGATGCAGACATGGCTGTGAGAGGCTCCTGGCCCTCTCCTGCTTCCCTCCCTTTCCCCATTGAAGTCCCTCACCTTGGCCTCAGTCTCCTCCGGTGGAACGGGACAAGACTGGGGACTTTCAATCTGGAGGACAGTCCCTGTGGTGGGAGAAAAGGCCCAGGAAAAACCACTGCCCTCAACTGAACTTCCTACACAACCCTCTGGCTTCCACAGGCCCCTCCCAGATTGGAAAGGACAGGAGAAAGCCAGGATGGAATGAGGGAAGGAATTTGTAAACTCATATTAATGAGGCAAATAAAACTAACCAGCCTCCCTTCCCCTGAGGAAACTTGGAAACTCCAGAATATGTAGAATAGCTACACCCCCACTCTCAGCAGGGGCCCATTACCTTCTTCATCCAAGGTCCCAGCTAATTCTCCACCATCTGCCTTGGAGGGGCTCCAAAGGGCCTGGGGGACTCCCTCAGATTCTGGGTCCATCCTGGCTTCTGGGCCCAGGGTCTCCACAGGCAGGCTCTGGGGAAAGGGGTGTGGGCAGAAGGGCTGCTCCAGAGGAAGGACAGCAGGACAAAACCAGGGGCATGGTGCTCTGTGGGGTCCTTAGGCCAGCAACACCTCTCAGGGGTTCCAATCCACATCTCAACAAATGACACACCCAGTAGTGAGCTGATACAAAAATGGGTCTCAGCTCAGCACAAAGTGATGGACATTCCCTAAACTCACTTACTGCTATGAGGAGGCAGACTTCTGTTAAAGAAGCACCACTGGACCGAGGCACTGGACCACTATACAAATGGCGTCCCCTCAGGGGAAGCTGGCAAGAGCATAGGTCTCCCTCCCCCCAAGATCATCAGTACTGCCCTCTCCACAGATGAACAACCCAGTTATTGGCTGGGGAGTAGGAGGATGGCAAGAGAACAAAGTCCCCTCGTGCCCAAGTTCTGTTTCCCAGGAGTATGCCAGCAGCTGCCCTCACAACTGGCCAACCACTCATATAACCCAAGCTGCTCTGCCCTTTCCTACTGGACCCTGACATGCTCTCCCCACACACCTGTCTCCCAGCAGCTGCTCACAGAAGCCCAACTCCCCCTTGCCACAAACAGTCTGTCTATCTCCCAAGGTGCTCTTGGTCTGGTCATCCAGCCCTGCCACACAGCCTCAGCCTCCCCTTCCCCTACAGACTCCCCCTCGGCAAGCCCACTCCCTGCCACCCCATCCATGGCTTCTGCGATCACTCCAATAATGATTCTTGATCTTAGTATGTTTCTTTGCAATTTTCAAATCATTTTTTTTCTCATGGACACCCCTAAAAGGCAAGAATCATGACTCCTGTTTTAGAGGGCAGGACAGAGAGATGAGATGGCTTGTCCAAGGTCCCCCAACTATCAATAAAGGTACCCCAACAGAAAGCCAGGGCTCTGATTGAGAGGATGGTGCCCATCTTTCTCCAACTCGCCTCCCCCTCTGCCAGCCAGTCTCAGTCCATGTGACCTGTTCCAGTGTCATGCCTGAGGTCAATTCTTCACTTCCAACTGGACTCTTCAAGGGCACCTCAAACTCAACATGTCTAAACTGAGCTCCTTACCTTCTCTCCTCCTGGAGGTTCTATTATACCAAATCACTGGGGATTGGAACTTTCCAAGATCCCTTTGACAAATTCTCACCATCCCCTCTTCAGCCATTAAAGTCCCCTATCCTGCCGCCCCCTCCTCTCTTCTTAATGGCTTCAGGAGCTCAAGAGTCCCCTGGGTTCCTGCCCCACCAACTGCTACCTGGATTGCTGCAGAAACTTCAAAACTCTCTCTCCCTGTTCCCACACAGCCCACAGTGGCTTCACCCTCTGCCCAAGGCAGATTGTCCTGACATCCTCCAACTCAAAGCCCTTAACTGATTTTCCATCAGGATGAGGCCTGAATGCCTCAGCCAGGCCCCTCAGGTCTCTTCCAGGGGTTCCCAGACTCTACCCCCAACCTCACTCCAGCACTGGCTCTGAGCCATGTCTCCACCTCATCCGACAGTCTCCCCCAACATGGCTTTCACACTGTCACCTCAGGACCTTTGCTCGTGCTGGTCTCCCCACCAGCATTCCCTCCCTACTTCTCTCAGCTTACCCAACTGGTACCCTTCCTTCAAGGTATGGTCCAAGTCCTGACTCCTGAGGCCTGATCTTCTCCCTACCGTTGGAGTTCCTCTAACAGAAAGCAGGAATACTTCCCCAATGCCAGAAAGCAGCCCAGCCCTGCAGAGATCCCCCTTCCATGTGCATCCCAAACCCACTCTTCCTACCTCTGAGCCGGCAAGCACCCAACTATTATCCGAGTCTGGGAAGGAGGCCATATTTGCTGAGGTCCCTGAGGCTGCTGTGGCTGCCACCTGCAGAAAAAAAAAGCTCTCTTAAGGACCGGATCTCCCTTCAGGAAAGGCAAGATGCAGAAAGAAGCCTTGACTGGGTTCCAAGGTTCGAGGGCTGGGCAGCAATCTCCAGAATCCAGCCTGGTTCCAGTCCTTCTGACCCTGACACCTCAACTCCTCTGGGCAGTATTTACCTTGCAAATCAAAACACACTAACAGCCACAGAAAAGCCTGCCTCTTCCAGGGACCAACAAAGACTTGAGAAACCGAACTGACCTTGAAAGGTCAAGGAAGCACAGAGCTGAAAAGGCTCTGGGGGATATCCAGTTCAACCCCTGATGTTATAGTTGGGGAACATGAAGCCCAGAAAGGTTCACTGATTTGATTTGCCAAAGATCAAAAGCTAATAAAAAGTGCGAGGAAAACAACAGGGTCCTCCCTTCACAGCAGCAGGCATCTCCACAATCACTACCATCTCCCCCAGGGCCTGGAAGGGAAGACTCGATGAGTCCTTCAGCCATAAGTCTCCTACCACCCAACCACCATAAATCTTATGTATGGTCTAGTTCAGGGGCACCCAACCCTGGCTGCACATTGGAATCACCTAAGATCCTGATTCAATTGGGTGGGGGTCAGGCTATGGCATGGGTCTTTTTAAAAACCTCTCAGATAATTCTCATGTGCAGCCAGGGTTGAGAATTACTGGCATAGCTTAGCTCCACCTGGATACACCTTTAGTAAATCTTCTTGTCACTCTCACTCTCCATCCTAAACTCTCTTCCCCTTCTTAATAATCTACAGTTTGGTCCTAGGGAACTTGAAGGTGACTGGGAAAAGGGATTTAAGGCAACTATCGCATATAAATTGCTTTACAGTTTGCAAAGAATAGACAAAAATCAGGGCTATGGTCCTGCCCCCTGCTAACTTGCTGTGACTTGGCAGAGTGAAGGGACAGGGAGTCACTCCAGCTTCCAAAGCCTGACACAAAGCAGGGTAAGCAGGAGGGAAGGACCCACGCCTTCATCCAAGGCCAAGATGGTTCCCTTAGGCTAGGGCAGCTACAATTGGGACCAGGCATAAAGATGGAATGATAGACGAGCTGCCCCTCAGAGTCCTGAATTGTGATCCTTCAGAGGAGGATAAATGACTACTTCCTGAGGGACTAGAAGGGCAGTAAGAGGAAGATGACTCTATAAGGAAATTCTAGGAAAGGAAAGTAAGGCTGGGGAAGTATGGCAGTTCTACCTTTGAAAATGACCATACTGACCCCTTCCATCTGAACTGGTTTTAAGTCCTGCAGCGTGCCCTAATAACCTCCTGTGGCCTTTGCCAGTCAAGATCCAAGCCCAAAATAGGTGAAGGTCAGCTTCCCCAATGCCAAGCCTCCCAGACACATGCACCCATCCCACATGGAGATAGAATGGCTACAATGACTTGCCCATACTAAGTCCAACAAGATATAGAGAAAAGTTCACGGAAAAATTCACAGTGGGCTGGCCAATTAGGTCAGTTGGTTAGAGCGCAGCGTTAAAACACCAAGGTCAAGGGTTTGGGTCCCTTTACTGGCCATCTATCAAAAAAAAAAAAGAAAGAAAGAAAAATTCATACTATCTTTCAATTATATTTTTCCACAAGTTTTTTTTTTTTTTTTTTTTTTTTTTTTTTTTTTTTTTTTTTTTTTTTTT